TGTTTTCTTTCCTCCCTTCACGTTCTTCCCGAGACTTCTTAAGTGCTCTTTGAAGTGTCTCAAGGTTTGGTCCCGGGATCTTTCCTGTGCTCACTCTACAGACTCAGTGCCTGGGTGCAGTGACCTCCAGACCTAGGTCTCCTGCCCAGATTTCATCATTGCTCCCTGACCTCTGCCAGCATCCTACCCCCCACCCCATCGTATCATTCTTTATCACAACATGTTTTATATTTTCATTATAGTACTCTTCTTACTATATACAAGTCTTGTTAAATGTCCACGCTTTCCTTAGACGGCCCCAGAATGCAAGCTTTATTCACTAGTGCGTCCCAGTGCCCAGGACAGCGCTCGGCTTGCGTGGGCCGCTGAAACAGTACACGATGGAGGAGGCCCGTGTCCTCCAGCCTTCCTTGGTGGTGGTTTGTGGGAATACGCCTACATCTGTGAGAAACCCTAGTGGGAGCCTTGATACACAGAGGAGTCCGGCGATCTGTCTTCACTCATTTTTAAAGATAATAAAACTCATGAATAGATACAGAGTATTATTTATCATTGATCCAAGTAGAAATGTATACTCAGTTTTGATACAGTTTCTTTTCTGTCTTGGGGCTACTCGGTACTTCTGTTTGTACTTAATAATACCACCTTTAGAGTGGCATTTTTATTCCCTTAGTGTAACGAGTGGCATTTCTATAGCCCTGACATTAAAATATCCTGTAAAGCTCCAGCCACATGAGAACTGACTTCTCTTAAGAGGGTTTGCTTTATGTGGTAAATACTGGAGTACCGGCAGCAGGGAAAACTGGGCTCTGAGACTGACCTGACCTGAATTCTTGGAGTTTTTCTCTGTGACGGGTTGTTGGTGACTGGGGTTGTGCATACTTAATGATGTGCTATGTAACTGATCTCTTTGGAAGTGCCTTGCTTTAAGGTAAGGCAGTATTTGAAATTGGTTAACCACGAGTTGATTTTTCTTTGTACAGAAGGTTGTATAATAGGAGTCTCTTACACAGCAGGCTGTTCTATAATGGAGTATTTAAAGCAAGATTTAAATTATGCACATTTTCGGGGACATTTTGGCTGAAATGAGGTACAGCAATTTTACACTTACAACACATATTTGTTCCACAGCCTTAAATGTTAGGAGCACCTGTAATGCTTTATATCCTGAAATTTGATTAGAAAATTCTTTGTAGTCTTTCCAGTTTTGCTTGATGACTTTGTTAATAACAATACGCAAGGGACATGAGATAACGTATGCTCTTTTTCTTCTTAAAGTTGTGTGTAAATATTTCAAAATAACCTTCATCTTTCATGATCACCTCTTCTGTTTTAGGTTCTAAATTAGTATATAAAATTGATTCTTCTTCCTTTTGTATATTTATATTTTTGCTTAAAAAATTTTTTTTTTCTTTATTGATTATTTTAGAGAGAGAGGAAGGGAGAGCGAGAGAGGGATAGAAACATTGATGAGAGAGAACATGGATTGGCCGCCTCCTGCATGCCCCCTACTGGGGATCAGGCCCACAACCTGGGCATGTGCCCTGACTGGGAATCGAACTGGAGACCTCTTGGTGCATGGGTTGATGCTCAACCAGTGAGCCACACTGGTCGGGCTATTATTGCTTTTTAAAAGACTGATCTCAATTTACTTATTTGTAAGATTTACTCTATAATGAAATTATAATACAATTTTTATAAAAGCCAACTTCTTGCCCTGGCCAGTGTGGCTTAGCTGATTGACCATCGTCCCATGCTCCAAAAGGTTGCTGGTTTGATGCCTGGTCAGGGCACATGCCTGGGTTGCAGGCTCAATCCCCAGTAGGGAGCATGTGAGAGGCAGCTGATTGATGCTTGGCTCTCCCATCGATGTTTCTCTCCTTCTCCCTTCCTCTTTCTCTAAAAATCAATAAAAAATATATATTTTTAAAAAGCCAACTTCTTTATCTGTTTGTTCCTAAGTAGTAAGTATTAAATATACTTTCCTCAGGTCTTGAACAGACCATCCATTATTTCAAATATTTTAGGAAATAAAAGTATTCTATTTAAAAAATATTTTTATTGATTTTTTAAGGGAGAGAGAGAGAGAGAAACATCGATGTGAGAGAGAGAGACATTGATCAGCTGCCTCCTGCACACCCCACACTGGGGATCGAGCCTGCAACCCAGGCATGTGCCCTGACCAGGAATCGAACCCGGACCTCTCAGTCCATGGGATGACACTCAGTCCACTGAGCCACACTGGTTGGGTGAAATAAAAATATTTTATGCCAAGATTATTATTGCGTGTACCACCTCTTAGCCTTCTGTTTGCAATGTAGATATATCTATTTTGTTTAAAAATACTATTTGTGGATTTAATTTATATAAAATGGATTTATTACTCTGAAAAATCCAGTTCAGACAGCATCCTCTCTACCCACGGAGCTGAACCAGGTGGGAGAGCCTATGGACCCTATGAGGTCAGAAGACCCTTCCCAAAGCCTCAGTGAAGCCCGATGAGAGCCTCCCTCTGAGAAATAACCCTCGGTGGGCAGGCAGAGCGAAGGGATGGCACATGGACTTATTAAAACAAAACAGAGCCCTGGCCAGTTTGGCTCAGCGGTTAGAGCGTCGGCCTGCTGTCCAGAGAGACCCGGGTTCGGTTCCCGCTAAGGGCATGTACCTCCGTTGCAGTTTGTCCTCGGCCCTGGTTGGGTCGTGCGGGTGGCAGCCACTCGATGTGTCTCTTTCACGTCGATGTTTCTCTCTCTCTTCCTCTCTCCCTCCCACTCTATCTGAACAAAAAACAAACCAAAAAATTAAAACAACCAAAAAACTTGTTCTACTAATTTAGTCATTTGCTTGTACAGATATGGGAAAAGAGTTGCTTTTAAATCAGATACGTATTTGAGTTTTTTAAATAATGCATGTGCATTTTTTAATATTTCAATTAATAGTTGTTTTTTTTTAAACAAAACAGTATGAAAAAAATGACAGCAAAAACTTCTAACATGATGTAACAGAAAATTCTAAAAGCTTCTGATATTTTCTATCATTAATATTTTAACGATAAAAAACAGTTTTGCCCATTCTTTTTAGATTTTGGACCATGAGAAAGTTTATTTTGGCAGCTTGAGCAGTTGATATGATGTAACTAATTCTGATTGAGTTTTTTAGAAGAGAGAGGACGGCAGACATCTGAGGTTTGCGTGAGGAAAGGCATTAGAAACTGAGGAGGATGCCACGTACGTGCACCGTCACCTCCGTCCACGCGCTCCGGAGGGCAGTTTCACACTTTCAGAATGAAGGCTGGGTCTGTTTGCTGCTGACAGAGATAATCTCATCTGAACTAATCTCATCAAAGTTCAGAAAAAAATGGATGTAAACATGTATGTGATATGATGTCTAGAAAGTAAAACAGTAGGTTTTAATGGTAGTGAGTGCTTGAGAACTCATTTCTGAGTCACAGAATCTGTCTTCTGTTTAAGTCTTATTTCACAGTTCAGTATAGGAAACAGATTAAACTGGTGATGGTTTGACTAAGAATCCCAGCAGCTTAAACTCCCACTCCATCTTCCCCTTTTCCCTCCTTCTGTGGGGCACCCGAGACACCATTACACAACTAAGTACTCTCAGAAATTGTCCTTATATGAAGGGAAATTTGATAAGGGAAAGAGATGACATTATAGATTTGTAGGGATATGACACAGTAGTCAATAATGGGTGGTGAGACTGCTGACTCTTCATAAACAAAAATGACATTGAATTTGAACCTCATTTCATTTAGGAAAATAAATTTTTGATGGGTTGAGAACCCAGATGTGAAAAGCAAAAGCTACTGACAAGTATCTTCATAGAGGCATTGTTTGAATAAAAAAACCTGGAAACAACTCAAACACCTAAGACAAGAGGAGAGTGGTTTATACACTGTTGTATAGCCATACAGTGGAATGCTATATAGCAATGAAAATAAAGGAACCAGACTAAAGCTTGGTTGAATCTCAAAAGCATATGTATAATCTAACTCCATCTGCCTGCAGGTCAGAAACGGTGAGACTGAATAGTTATCCTTTTAGTCCTATACATCCTTATGTGATGGGAACGTGAAGAAGGTCAGGCAGGGAGCATACGTATAACGCTCAGGCAAGAGGTGCTGTCTGCAGAGGGCGGGAGAGGGTGAGGGAGGGCAGCATGTGGGCTTCAAAGACAATGCTACAGATTTGTTCCTTACGCTGAGTGGTAGAAAACTGTTTCTTGTTTTATTTTTTTAATCCTCAGCTGAAGTCATTTTTCCATTTATCTCCAGATAGAGTGAGAAGGAGGGAAGGAGGAAGGGAGGGAGGGGGGGAGAGAGGAGGGGAGGGTGGAGAGAGAGAGAGAGAGAGAGAGAGAGATCCATGTGAGAGAGACACATTGACGGGTTGCCTCCTGCACGACCCTGACTGGGGTCAGGGATGAACTGCGGTCGAGGTACGTGCCCTTGACTGGAGTACAACCTGCGACTCTGACTCTGGTCCGCGGCCCCACGCTCTAATCACCGAGCCACACTGGCCAGGGCTCCTGTTTTATTTTTAAAACTGTGGAAATGTTCTATATTCTTATATATACATTTTATAAACAGTAGAAATGTAACCACCTCTTAAAAATTTTAAATCTTCAGAGATAAAACCATGTATGTCAGGTAATATTTCCATTATGAAATCTAAACCAAATCTGGAGTTCTCTGGGACCCTGCGTTGGTTGTTTGGCTGCACCCTCCCACTGAAAGTCCAGCTCCAGGCCCTTACCCAGCCTGTGCTCTGCCTCAGGCAGTCCATGAGAACAGCTTCCCACAGGAGGCCCCGCCCCACCGGCCCTGGCCCTCTATCTGGGTTCTCAGGACTGAGCATCAAGTGAAGCCAGCAGCTGTTATGTATTGTTGCCCATGTTTTCTAGGACTTTCTGCTTCTCTGTTGAATCTGTACAGGTTTATGATGTTTATTTCACCATGACCCTTCACCGGGACTTGGGGATGCAATAATGAACAGAACCAAGTTTTGTCTTAAAGGGCAAAAGAAGGGAAAAGGACCATGACTGTGTCACGGAGACGGGCACTTGTGCCCGCATGTGTTTTCCCTTCCTCTGTATTAATAGAGCCTCTGAGTTTCCGCTGGACACATGACCGTTCAAAATACAAACATTTCTCGGCTTTCATCGCGGCCACCCATGAACGTGTGATTTAATTCTTACAATAGAGAGTGAGTGAACTGGATGTGTGTCTCTTCAGGTCTCACCTTTACAGGGAAGGAGCAGGCTCCCCCCCGGCCCGGCGCTAGCATGAGGATGTTCACACACACAGTACGAGTGAAATGTGGCCATGGGCCACCTTAGACGGGCGGGTGAGAGCGCCGTCGGGGTGGCAGGGCAAGGAGACTATGTCACACCCCAGACGACCGGAGCCACAGTGCCGTTCCAGACGCCTCTGTGAGAGAAGAATAAACTATCTTGAGTCTCGAGTGTTTTGGTTCTGTGTTACTTTGCAGCCCTACTTTTAGATAGCCTAATTAGTTCAACATGCAGACAAGCGGTCACAGCCCGTGCGACACATCACGGTGGCGCTGTGGAAATGTAACCGAGATGTGCACGCAAGATGGGAGAGCAGGGAGGTGTTCATAAGTGTTTCCGTTTCAAGCTGTATAAAAAGGATGAAGAGAAGCTTTTCAGATAAAGAAGGGGTGGCATTTCAGGCAGTGGGCATGGCAGGGATAAATGGATGAAAGTGAGAGTGTAGCTTTTCTGGTTTCACAACATGACTTGGTTATAACTTTTTCTAATTAAAGGAAGTCAGGGTGTGTATATAAGACCGCCACTGATTATAATCTGTTTCTTTCAGCATAGAAAGGACACCAAAGCTGCTGTGAATGGCTTTGGCCATTGCTCATTATAACAATAAGAGATTAAGAACTGATAGGAGCTACTGATGTACTGGTGATGGCAGGAAAATAACAGCCATTATTACAAGTGAGCAAAAACTAAATGTAATCACATACTGGATTTTCTGAATGGTGTTCAAGTAATCTAGCCATGCCACTTTATTATGGAAAGTCCCATAGGAAAAACACCTTTGTTTTACATGCAGTTATTGTAGTGTATTGTGTCAGACTGCACCTGGTAGGTTGGGCTGGAGATACTGACAGGGCTGGATCATGAAGGACCAGCCTGATCTAATTCCAGGGCAGCTTTTCGGCTTGGACTGCAAAGGGCAGCTTGGTTTGGTACGGAGATTGCAGAGTGCTGTGTGCTCACTTCCGGTTTCCAGCTTGTAGTTTTGGGGTGAGTGTGCACGTACGGCATGGGGCAGAAGTGGGTTTCCCGCTGTGAGTACACAAAATGCAGAGCTCATTCTTTTATTAGTAACGCTTGTGTTATTTCCCATAAGCACAAGTGTAAACCTACTTTTGTCCCACCCTGTATTGTAATAGTCACAATATAGGGTGTTCATTTCTAGAATTGTGATGACATCCGCTGAATTGCAGCCAGTTCGTTTGCATATTCATGAAATTTAGCTCAAATAAGTCCCTGTTTGTTTGCACATTCATGTCTGATTTCAGCACCAGTTAACTAATTTACATATCCTTGTTCACTTGGTGGGTGATGTTCACACGTGGAATATTGGTGCGCTGTTTGTGCTTGGAGTAGCTTGGGGAACATCGTGGCCAGTGGAAAGGAAACCTATGGCTCATCCTGCTCTTACTAGGCCAGTCCCTGTACCTCTCTGAGCCCTAGGTTATTCATTTGTATAATTAGGTCATTTCTCAGGGTTGTTGGAAGTGTCCATTGACATGTTGTAGACAGCAACATACACTCACCATTTCTAGGCCAGTTATATTGGAGAGCCTGCTCCTGGGACATCGGAATATGGGAGAGTTCTAGGAGCTGCAAAGACAACATTCAAATAGACAGTTTTCACGAATAAGTACTTTGGGGATGTGAAGGAGAAATTGGAGAAGGGTTCACCAGACTGGCCAGGGCAAGGGCAGTCACTGCAAGTAGGGAGAAGATGTAAAACAACACACACACACACACACACACACACACACACGTGAGAGCATTGCGTGTAGGGGAAGATTGGGCCTGGGCAAGGGAGACAGGTGGGTGGATCTCAAAGGACCTGGTGCAACAGTAAGAAGAATGGCCTTTGTCCTGTGGGTGATAAAGAGTCCCGTAAGGGTCTAGAGCAGGACAGTGACATAATCAAATGTCACTTTAAAATCTTCTGGTGACTGTCTGAGGACACGTTGCATACTGAGACTGCAGTCACAGAGGCATGTTGCGAGGCATGTTGCGTTATTCACATGAGAGTTCACAGAGCATTATGCCAGCTTTTTATTTATTTTTTAATCCTCACCCCAGGATGTTTTTCTATTTATAGATAGAGTGGGAGGGAGAGAGAGGGAGAGAGAGAGAGAAACATCAAAGTGAGAGGAACACATCGACTGGTTGCCTCCCCAGGACCTCGACCAGGGTTGGGGATGAGCGACTACCGAGGTAGGTGCCCTTGGCTGGAATCAAACTCTCGACTCATTGGTCCACGGGCTGATGCTTTACCACTGAGCCAAACTGGCCAGGGCTATACCAGCTTTTTAGAAGGCAGTGAGCATGGAGAGGTGGGAACAGATCCAGAAGCTAAATGGTAGAATCAGTTGGACATGGTGATTCTTCTGGGTGGAGTTTGAGCAAGAGAGAGGCATCTTGGTTGAGCTACTGTTCTGGTCTGGTGACTCGGTAGATATTTTTAGTTTTCTTTAGATCTCTGTAATCTATTATGATGGTATCTAATCTAATCTACCATCAGCTCCCTTTGTTGAAGGCATTTGGAGGTTCTTGACTCCCTATGGCCATTCTGCTTCCTAAGTCCAGAAATGTTGGAGTTAAGGCTTTCTTCCCTCCTTCCTCCTCCTCCTAATATTTGCAAATACTACTTTCTCCTTTCCAGGCTTTGGTGGCTCTGTTGATTTTAGTCCTCCTTTTAGTCTATGAAGAAATGAATTCTTCAATTTTTATTCTGCAATGTACTCTGGATTTTTATTATTAAAATCAAGTTACTGTCCATCTTTCTTAATACTTTGCTCTTTGATTTTGTGCAAGCCACTTTTAACCAGTTTTCTCAGTTGTAAAGAGAAACTAGATTATTTCTGTGACTCTCATTCTGCCCAAAGCTCTGTGCTTCTTGAGTCTCAGCTACTCGGTCACTATCTTTTCCTGTCTAAGTCTGAGGAAGAGTTGGAGGTTCAGAGTGTGGTCTCTCGGTCTGGCTTCCTACCTGGGTGAATTTGGACAAATTAACTCCTTGATGTGTGAAGTTATTTTCTGTAAACGGAACAGAAAATATACCTACATCATAGGGCCATAATGAGGACAAAGTGAATTCAAACATGTAAAATGTTCAGAACTGTGCCTGGCATATAGTAAGTACTGAGTAAATGTTAACTGTTGTTAATGTATCTGTGGCCTTGCAGTGCTTAGCATTCTGCACACATTGGAGACACTCAATAAATGTGTGTTTGTTTTTTTAATTTTCTTTTTTCCTTTATTGATTTTAGAGAGAGAGGAAGTAAGAGAGAGACAGAAACATCGATGAGAGAACATCAATTGGCCGCCTCCTGCATGCCCCCCACTGGGGATCGGGCCCACACCCTGGGCATGTGCCCTGACTGGGAATGAAGCCAGTGACCTCTTGGTACTTGGGTCCATGCTCAACCAGTGAGCCACACCGGCCGGACTTAATAAATGTTTTAAAATGAATGAATGACTAAGTATGCTAAGGGACAAATAAATTCAAGTAGACATCCCTAGAATGGTCTTTAGAAACTTTTTTTGGTCCTCTGTTTTCTTCTTTAACAGAAGTCCTTTCAGTGAGAGGACTGAGTATAAGGGTTACCTGAGTGACCGGCCCATCTTGTCATGTTAAGTGCGTGGCATTCGTTGTGCTGGTCTGGGTGCAATTCCCACATCTCTCAGCAACAGGCGGCGCTCAGTGGCTCTCCAGTGAGCTGCTCTTCCCGCTCGTGTCCACTCCAGAGATCAATATTCAGGCCCTAGTGGAAGTGGCCATTTCCCTTCAGAATCGTCTTCATCTCCAGTGTCACTAACTCTGAGTTTTACTCCACAGATAATTTAAATGATTATAATATAATGCCCATGGGGAATAATTAGCTCAGTTTTAGATGGTGTTCTAGTTTTTAGCTATAGTAGTTTCATTTTACACTTTGAGATTTATATAATATATATTATATAAACAGAAATTGTGTCTAACACATGACCTTTTAGTTGCCTATGAACTGAATCCTTTTTTCTCCTCCCTTATTTTTTATTATTATCATTTTATTACATTTCGCTTAATATTATATAGAATATACCAACAGTAAGTGTGTAAAGGACTTTTAAATGTACGGTCAACTTTTTGCCTGTATGTTAACCTACCGCCCTCAAGGTTTTCTCATGTAACTTTCCACCCCCATCCCTCACCCCAAGGTAGCCACCAATGTGATTTCTCATGCTAACACTGTTAATAGTTTTGCCTATTCTTTAACTCTACATAAATGTAATTATATACAATGTCAAGTGTATCTAGTTTCTTTTGCTCAACATAATATCTGTGAGATTCATTTGTATTTTTTAATGTATTAGCTTGTTTTTATTGCTATATAGTATTCCATTGTATGATTATAGGCAATATATTTTTGCTCCTATTAATAGAAAATTATTATTTCCACTTTGGGGCTATTATAAATTATAGTTTTTGTACATATGCATGCATCTGTCTTGGGGATATACCGAGGAGTGGAATTACTGGGTCATGAGAAGACTGTGTTTAGCTTTAAAGAGACTAACAGGCATTTTAAAATTAGAGAAATTGCATGAGAATTCAGTTGTATATTCTCATGACTGTGCTGTTTATCAGCCTAGGTTCCATTGTTCTGGTGGATGTGTAGTCTGCCATATTAAAAAAAAAGAGTCAGCTTTTCCTTCTTCTGCCTCTTTCCCCTCCCCTCAGTCTGGCAGGAGTTTCTGGATGCCGATCATTCACTTGACAGGCTGTATCCCAAACCATGGATTACAGTGACCTTCTTTTCCTCCTAGGATGTCCTGACTGACGTGTGTGTAGTTTTATCCAGGATTCTTGGGTAGTCTTTCTTGCTAGAAATCACCCACTAATATGCTAGCACTTTTGAGGTAGAATGTATAGATATAGCCTCTCTTCCCTGTTTGCTGTTTGTTTTGTTTTTTTGGCTTTCTATTTTGAATATCTTTTTTGCTTATTCCCACGTGGTAGGCAAAATTGTAAAATGACACCAATGAACCATGACCTTTATAATTCCTCCCGTTGTGTGTGGGCTGGATCTGTTAATATGATGGAGTATCACTCCCATGATTAGCTTTCATCATGTGGAAACCATGATGGGATTCTGCAGATGTGATTAAAGTCCCTAATGATTTGCCTCTGACTTAATTATAAGGGAGAGCATCCTTGGTGAGCCTGACCTAATCACGTGAGCCGAGGCAGTAGCGGATGCCAGCCTTGAAGAAGTCATCCATGTGAGAAGAATGGGCCATGTGGCAAGGACCTGCGGGTGGTGCCTAGGGGCTTAGAGTGACCCCTGTCCTTCCAACAGCCAGCAGGAAAACGGCTGCAGCTGAGGTTGCAGCCTTGACTGACACCGTGATCTCAGCCTAGCAAGACCCTGAGCACAGTACCCAGCTAACCATGCCTGCACTGCTGACCCACAGGATTAGTGAGGCAGTAAATGTGAGTTGTTTTAAGCTGCTAAGTTTGTGGTAATTTGTTCCATGTAGCAGAAAACCCAATCTGAATACTCCATGATTCTTCCTATGAGACACTCGAATATTCTCTCAGACTAGGGGATAGGCTGGTTCTCTTACAGGACGCGAGGGAAAGAACCACCCTTACTCCTCCTTCCCCAGATATACTCCAGATGTCAGTCTTAGTGACCGTCCCTTCCCGTTCTCTGCCTGCCTGTGGGAGCTGTGGGGGACTTTGAGAAAGGCTGGAGATCCGGTTCTGCGAGCTTTATAGTATAAAATGTCAGTTTTAAAATGTATAATAATTTCTCTCTACATAAAACAAAAAGCATCATCCTAACCCTCTGAGGCAAGCAGTACAGATTCTGTGACCTCCCTGGGCTGTGTCATGGGCACTGACCCTGAACATGTCCAATCACAGTCACGACCACGCCTTCTCCCCACCGCCCCAAACCTGCTCTTCTTACAGTGCAGTGACCCTGTGAACTGACCATCTCTAACCTTGGAAGTCATCCTTGTCTTCCATCTTTGCTTCACGCAGTCAGTCTATTCCCAGACCTACTGATACCGCCCCCAGCCCACCTACCCCTACAGACCTGGCTCGTCTCTTTTTCAGAGTCTCTCACCTCGCCCAGGGCCTTAATGCCACCTCCTCTGG